CCCCCCCCCCCCCCCCCCCCACTCACAGTGTCAAAGCAGTGATAGTACATGGAACAAAGATGAGCCAAAGACACATTCTTTGAAGTTTCAAAGGTTTCACAGGCCTTCCACAGAGTACAGAGGAGTCGGTTCTGTTGAAGGAGGGACAGACGTCAGTACCACCAGATCAGTGACATCACGTCAGTGACATCACGTCAGTGCTTTTCAATGGACTCACATTTGGTCGGTCTGCATCCACGAGCGGGAAGTCCAGTGTCAGGTTTCCCCCTCCCTGTGAAGTAACAGACAAACACACAGTCACACCCCAACAACTACCCCCCTCCTCCCCCCCCACCCTCCGTCTTCTTTAGTGCTGTTTCCTGTTGGAGGAATCATGACTAGAATCTGAACCACACGTGTCAAACTGAGACTTCATTCCAGTTTTTAGTTTTGGCCCAGTCTGGTCTCAAGCATCGAGGAGACGTTCCTCCGTCCCTCACTGCAGTTTGTGGTTGATTAATGTCGCTCTTTTCTTCTTCTTCTTCTTCTGCTGTGACGTGAGGGTAAAAGGTTAAAGGTCGGCACTTTGAAGTCCAGGTGTTTTCACCAGTCTTTACAGGACTGACAGTTTACAACATGAGTCCTGCTGTGTCAGTGTGACGTTCAGATAGACAGACGGAATCACAGACGGAATCACAGACGGAATCACAGACGGAATCACAGACGGAATCTCAGACGGAATCACAGACGGAATCACAGATGGAATCACAGACGGAATCTTCATGTAAAGATAATTTTTTAAATATTTAAAAATGTGAAACTGCAGTACTAGGAGTACTACTGCAGTACTAACAGGAGTCTGTTGTATTTTTAAAAATGTGATGATCCTTAAAGTGAGGGGCGCTGTCTTCAAAAAGGGATAAAAGAATAAAAGTTGATGGTCAGGTCATAGTTGAAGGGATGAGGGTCAGTTTTTGACCTTACCCAGGATCTCATGTCGAAGTACTCCCAACAGTTGGGTCTTGAGAGGGGAATAGACGCCACCTACAGCCGAGGAAAAACAAACAGAAACAGGTTAGCTAAAAGAAGCTAAGCTAACGTTGTGATTCCTCCTTCAGTTACTCTGCACCCCATCTGTCAGGTCATGTGATCATCACGATCATCATTAAATATGATCTTTGTTCTAAACAGCTGCTGTGTCCCTCTACTGGTGTTTTAGTGGACAAACCATTAGCATAAGTTAGCACTGGTCACTGGTTCTGTTCCCACGGCTCTGTTGACCTAACCACCGGGCCAACGTCTGCCTTGAAGAAACAGTCGTCATGTCATCATGTTGCATTGCACAAGTCATGATATTTTGAGTGTGTGACCATCTGCTGCCAAATATAAAAACAGTCAGAGCCGTCGACTGAGCGCAAATACATGAGATTCGAACCATCGGCGTCGGTAGGAAGAGGAACAGGAAAGACAAGAAGAAAACCAGGAAGACAGAAGAAGAGAAGTAGGTAAAAACAAACCAACACAGGAACAAACAGTTGTCATGAGACCAGTGGCCAACCAGAGACGAGCTGTGAATAATAACTAGTATTTGTCGTTCAAGGTGCAGAGACACATACCAACAGACAGAGGGAGCTGAAGATTCTCCATGAGGACATTCTGCCACAGTGACCATCGGGACTCCAGCTGTGAAAGAACAGACAGAAGAACAGGTCACCGTGTTTGGATCGGTACCTGCTGGACACTGAGTC